CGGTTTTGTTTCTTAAAAGGGGAGGGGGGACAGTGTTAAAAGGCATTTCACGCTTTAATAAATAAATAAAGAATCTCGCTCCTTGTGAGATGAACGAACAGCGCTCTTTGATCGCTTCAAGCGCACCAGTCCTGGACGGCAGACCGCTTCCGGATAAAGGACGCAGCCTTCGTTTGCTTCTAACGGGAATTTCGGAAGAAGTCGTTATCGCATCGCGGAGCAGCAAACATTGATCTGTCGCCGCGAAATGCTCACCCGCCCCACAGTCGGCGGTGCGTCTTTCGGATCATCGATTGTGGTTGCCTTTCTTGGAAAAAAAAAACAACAAAAAAACACGTAATTCCTTTTCTTCCATCGAATGTTCTCGGAAAGCACTCCACACTTTGCGGTTCGCAGCACGCACATTTATCTGCCGCAAGGTTGCGCACACAGCTGCGATAGAAAGAAAATGAAGTATAGTTTGGTGAAGGGGTTTTGAGTCTGGAGTAAAAATGTGGCGGATGAAGTCGATGTGGATTCGAGCGCAGTAATCGCTCCCGATGAGGTACTCTACTCGCTTTGATTTTACTTGTTTGACCCCAGAGCAGTGTTGTACGGAACGGCGTTCCTGGAAACGCGTTCCTTTTAGGAGGAACGAAGGAAAGCCGCCGTTTCGTTTTGCATCGCTGGAACTGGAACGGGAACGCGTTACATTTTTACTGGAACGGAGAAAGGAACGGAGTTCCTTCTTTTCGTCCAGTAGGGTAATTTTTATTTTATGTGTAAGAAGAACATTTTAAAAGTATAAAAACAATATCTTTACGAAGAGCAGGATCTCGTTAACTTTTTGGTTAGTTATATTAGGGTTTATTCTGTGTGGTCTTCGCTTGGTAACAGTCGGGTGCGGGAGACCTAGTCGACATCGATCTTTTTTTCAGTGCACGAGACTGCGGCATAAAAAGCAAAACTTTTAGTCGAAGGAAAGGACACCAAAAAGGGGACGTTTCAAACTCAGCTACTTTCTTTGCTTTCACACTTCCTCATACACCCAGAAATTTAAGGCTGACTAAAGCCACCACTGAACTTCCACAAAGAGGCCTACAGTTACAACAAAAGAACAAGTTGCCAGATATCGAAAGCATCTTTGTACCCCGAACATTGGTCACTTAAAGAAACACAAAAATTAACCTTTATTCTACTTCCTCTTGTCCCCCACCTTCAAAATAAACAACGAATCCAACCTTCACGAAGAAGGACTAGTAGTTTTCAAGACTGACCTTCCAAAAGCCCTACCCTCTTCTTTAATTGCTCGTCTTGCGGACAGCAACATCGAGAAGCAACTGTTGTTGAGTTCGAACAAGAGACTTCGTTAGATTTAAACGTGCGAGGTTGCTGTAAAACACTCGCGCAATATGGGGTAACGGTACATTTGGCTCGTCTGAATCGCCCACCACAAACGTGAATATGCTTAAAAGATTAGATTTTTAAAGGTGAATATATCAACAAATCCGCTGCTTCCGCTTGTCTCCTTCTGGTGCCCTTCCATCACGACATTCAAACTGGTATGTTGATAGATAGATAGAAAAAAAACTTTCCTCGGCTTAACTAATCATGGTTATCAGCCAACTACAAAAGTAACGGAAAAGTAACGATACGATCCATTCTTCCAACTCTAACGGGAACGAGTATATTTCCCACAGATGGAACTTGTAACGGCAATGCGTTCCAAAAATTAGAAGGACCGTGCAACGACCTTATGTTCCTTTTTTATTTATTTTTTTAGGAACGTGTACAATACTGCCCCAGAGGACGTTAATAGGCGACGAAGCCGACCTAACGTTGCGTATAACTTGTTATGTGATCTTTGGAAGGAGCGCATCGACGTGCAAAGAGCCTAGTCACGTGATGTTCACAACGCTGGATTGGTTCAGATGGCTCGTTGCGTCCTCTTCCGCTCATCGTTGCAATATTTGAAACAACAACAACAACAAAAAAACTCTCTGCTGGGGCAGGAAGTTGCTTTGTCAAACGGTTTTTGCCGATTTATCTCCTTGTTCCATCTCTCATTGTATGAAGAGAAATCAATAAACTGGACACTTAAAGTATAAGGGAGTACCAACAACAAATTTGGGCCCGCTTTTGTCTTCAAGTTGATTTAAAAGAAAATTTTACAAGAACAGCTATCGATATCCTTAGCGTAACGCGTGTAAAGGTTAAAAGATAAGAGATTGCGTCATGTTTCCTGAAAGTAGCGGCATTCTTCGCTGAGCCTATTGGCCCGAGAGTGACGGTTTCAGAGCGAACATGTCTCTATTTAACAGCATAATGAACTGAAAAAAAAAATACCATGCTCTTCGCGCGAAATGCGCTTGTCTATATAACCCATTTCGCGTGTAACGCACCCGGTCAAACAAGTGAAACAAAAAAAAAAGGAGTTGACTATAAGGTTGTAGCTCTCACGCTTGGCCAGTGCATTTGGCGAGAAAGGTGGAATATGTGTCAGGCGCGTTTCGGTAGCGTGACATTGCGCATTTTCACGTTGCTGGCAGAATGTCATTGGTGGATAAAATTAGGGGCGTGCGAACGATGGTTCGAATCGCCATAGCGCAGCGTCATTCCCAGCACCAGCACAGCAAAGAGAACCAATAGGTATTCTTCGTTTCCCCTAGCGCTGTAAATGCTATAAATGAGACGCAGTGCTATTCGAATCGAACCACTATTCGCACACGCCTAGATAAAAAAAAGAAAAATAAACGACAACAAATATAAAAAGGTAAAAGAAAATAATTTTTTTTATCGTCTTGACAGGAGAGCGCGAGCTGCATTTTTCTTTTAATTATTCAAACCTTTATGTTATTCTTTCTTTTTTTTAAGGCGCATTTTTAGAGCGCGTGAACAGATCCTGAGACACCCTTGTAAACAAGAGATGCTCGTGGATGATCGAACGGTGCATTGGCGCTTAGGTGCATTCATACGAGGAAGAAATCCCGGGGATATCTCCCGGCACGCGATTCCCACGACGAAAACGTCAGGCTTTGCGATGTGCAAAAGCCTCGCGTGTTCATCTCGTGATGCGCAAGTGCCGGGGAGAAATCCCCGGGATTTCTCCCTCGTGTGAAGCTCGATGCAGCTGCATTACATGGGCGCGTCTTTCGCAGAGCCGTGTGTTGGAAGAGTTTGGCCATTCAATGGTTTGAATAGGCGAGCATCTCGTGGCCAACCACAAGCCGCGAAACAGCCCCTAGCGGTGGTCGTAAGCCTCTAAAAATAGGACTCTACTAATTTGAGCCCTTTTAGCGTCGCTAGAGTAGAAAGGTATAACTCCTGGGTGACTGGAAACTTGGCGCATGTAAGGTTTTCATCACATTCACATTCAACGGTAGAATAAACGAACGTGCGCTCCAAACCGGAGCAAACTGCGTAGTTGCGATAATTCCTGCTGATTTGCCAGTGACACCATTGTCACCCAGACGCCTAGATTGAACGCTTTTATTTCACGCTTTAAATGTTGTTGAGAGTATTATGACGTCACGGTCTGCTGATTGGTCAACGCTGGGTAACACTTTTAGCTTACGCTCTAACCGCGGGGGGAAAATTCGGCGCTGCCGGCGGCTTTTGCTCCACCCATTGGCCAAACTCTCCCAATATACGGCTCTGACCTTACGGGCATGCTCGCGCCCTCTGGCCGAGGGAAACAGACCTATTCGCGACTTCGCGTCCGATTTCTTTTCCACCTACTTTCAGAACTTGACGTTTTGGCTGTTGGGTACTCTGAAAGTTTAGTTCAGACACAAATTTTCTGGATACACATACATCTATTTGCGTGGGCATATGAGGTAACAACGAAAGTGGACAATAAGAGCACAAACATGACTCCGCCAGGTGGAATGGTTTATGAATTAGTGGATTCTGATTCTGGAATCTTGACCATCTTGAGCTTAATGCGTCAAGAATGGTTTGAACTGGTGTAGACAGAGGGGGCGGTGAGGGGTTTTAAAAGCGGTTTTGTGGGCACTCCCCCGTGTTTCCTTCTTAACTTTTCTTTTTTTCTTTATTTTTGACAGTTTGACAGTCCTTGAATCGATGTTCCTCCTGGGCGTGCACGTTTATTGTTCACTCGCGTACTTATCAACAATTCTAGTTGCTCGATAAACTTCTAGCTTGGCAGTTATGGACAGGCAATGCCGGACTAGATGTCGAGTGCCCCCAACCGCGGCAAAACATTAAGATTTTTTTTTTTCGGAATGCGTAACCAGCCAAGCCTGCCATCAAACTAAAGCACGTTCTAAAATAGTTCGGTACGCATTACGTTGCATGTCCAGAAAAATATTTCAGAGTAACAAACTTCCATTGGCAGCAGTTAAAGCGCTTCTTGAAGGACATAAAGATCGCAGCTAAATGTGATTTTCAGAGACGTAACCAAAAATAGAGCCCCTCTTTCTGTCTTTTTGATTCTTATATTACCGGCTTGCAAGACTTGCCGAAGTATCTTCGAATGTAATTAAATTACTTTTTTCAAAGCGCCTGTACTCTACTCAAGTTAGTTCGTACTTAAATTAACTGAAATACTACTCTTAAATACGTTTTCAAAGGGGGATTTAGTATTTTTTTGAGTATTTAACGCGACACTTCATGTTTGTGACCACAAGCCCGTCCGCAGCCAAGACTAAGAATTGACGGAGCCGAATAAGGAGCACAAAAAAAAAAAAAAAAAAACATTAAATGGGTCAGGAGTCTTTTTCTTTTTTTTACATAATTTTACAGAAGTTGCGTTTTATAGCTGTATGAACAGTATCAATCATCTACATATGTGGCCAGTCCAGCTGGAGCTTACTGTTTCAAATTGTATTTGTAAACGCCTTGCGATTTTAATCAACCTTTAAGGCACGATGCTATCCGTACGAGCCTAGGTGTCCCGGCTCATTCGTGAATCGTTGCCCAGGTGCTTTCCTCTTTCGCCGCGATTAAAAGTGTTACTATCGTTTAGTAGTATTAGTATTATTACCATTCAGCGGACTCACCCCGAGCGAAACCGCAGCCGATCCTCCAGGGCCCACATCGGCCTCTCTGAAAAACACACACACACAAAAAGAAAAAAACATAAAAAAATTAGCCTCGTGGCAATTCGAGTGACCCACCCACAGTGTCGCGTGTTGCTCGCAAACACGTCACTTTGTGGCTAAGTTGGAGGCGCCGAAGCGTGAAAACAGGTAAGTACGCGGGTAGGAACCGAGGGAGATGGGGAGATAAGAGCGCCGAGCTCCGACTGGAATGATTACCGGGTAGACGCAAAGCTAGATGCTTTTGTCACTCTTTGAACGCGTTCGAACGCCGAAGACCGGCGACCAACGTTCCGCCTTATGGCCCGTTCACACTCTTGCGACTGCTTGCGACCTCTTAAACCTGGGTTCCTTAAAACTTCTTAAACCAGAGAACACACTGGCGCCACCTATTGGGAAGCAGTGTAAACTCGGCGGTCCGCCATATTTTTTTTTTTATTTCTCGCGCAATATCCTTTCTTTTTTGGCTCGAAAAACTTTTGTCAATGTTATAAACGAGCCTTTCTATGGGTATTACGCACATTTGACCTCGGAAATCCCGCAAAACCTTCGCTTTTGTGAAATGCAGTTCTAGGGTCACCGCATAGATGGCGCCACAATGTCAGTGTGTTCCCTCATTCTAGAAACATTTAAGAAGTTGTAAGAGATCTCGTCTCTCTCAGTCGTACTCGGTCGCAAGAGTGTGAACGGGCCTTTAGAAGAATGAGTAGAGAAAACAGCAGCTAGCTTTGTGACTACCCTCTAATCATGTTAGTCAGAGTTCGGCGTTCTGACGCCCTTGCGGGCTCTCGTTTCCTCCTCTCCCTCACTTTCTACCCGCATAGCAAGCTGAATTCGGCCATAGCCTCCTCTATACTCACAAAGCCCGGCAGTTCGACGACGGGCCATGGAGTGCCCGGTCGCAGATTTGGAGCGCGAGGATTTGGTAGCACAGAGGATCAAAGAGCCATTTCTCGGTGAACTTGGACGTCAGCGCAGAGCGTTTGCAGCGGCGAGGACCCGAAACGCACTAGTTCGCTTGGGAGAAGTGTGTTTCGGCGTCTCGCCGCGACCTGCCAGGCTTTGTCAGTATATAAGAGGCTATGATTCGGCATGGTCTGCGTGCGGTCTTATGTTGGATGCCCGTTTAGCGAGGCAATCGACGACTACGCGTGTCCCAGATGTTTTATAACAAGCTTATCGAGTTATCACTCAGGTTTTGCGCGGTTGAGCATTAGGCCATTTCTTTCCATCCTCCGGATACCTGCGTAAAAGGCAGCGGTTCGAGTGATTTCCTAGCCCAAGCATATATGATTCGTTATCATGCACTTCACTGCTAATACCATCTCAAGATTCGTGTGTTGGCCTGTCGGACAAAAAAACTATGCCTTCTTTGCTTTCTCACTTGTGTGCGAGTACTCGTTAGTAATTGCGCAACACGTTTGAGTTCTTCGGACGAGCAACTAGCTATTTAGTTGGCCTGAAAAGCACCAGAAACGCAAGCAAGAATGTCACAACCAAAAGTCGACATTTTTTTTTTTTTTTTTTTTTTTTTGTAGGGCGATTGCCAAATTTTTTTAAAGCAAATGCTGATTGGTGAAGGGCACATCATGAACATAGTTTTGGAGCGCAGCTTTTAGGCGCCCGTTTCCGCGTGTAGTGCTTTCGCCGTCGCCGTCGGCGTAACCGCCCCGCTAAATTTAGAGGAAAATTGAATCGGTGTTGAGGTCACGTGACGTCAATTTTCCCGCTAAATCTAGCACAGAAACTGAATTTGTTTATGGGTGACCGTGACACGAAGTCATTTGACGTTATTTTCCCCGCTAAATTTAGCGCGGAAACTGAATTGGTGTTGAGGTCACGTCGCGTCAATTTTCCGGCTAAATTTAGCGGGGAAACTGTGAAAGGAGGGGAGGGTATGGAGGAGGAGGAGGGGAGCCAGCGTGACGCGAATGACCCGATAGCGTTCACGCGCTCGTGTATCGCCAGCCTCGGTGCCGTGCCAGAAAATTGCCGTCACCCGAAAAATCCTGATTGGTCAATAGTGTCAGGACGTCACAGCCACATGACCTAGGCTTGACTGGAAGTAAGCGCCGAAAGACAGGGACAAAAGAAGCCCCGCTAAATTTAGAGAAATTTAGAGTGCCACGTGTCGTCGTCACCTACTTCTTTTGTCCCTGTCTCTCGGCGCTTCCTTCCAGTCATGAACAACCAACTAGCCCAACTTAACATAGGCTTGTCTGTCTAGAGGAGCGTACAGTTTTCGTCCGTCACCGAGTCCGCCCAGTGGCGCTGCGATCCTGCAGTCATCGTTTGTCTGTGGAGAATGCGTACCCCGCCGCGGGGCCGCCGCCAGGCCACTGGGAGAGAACACGTGCGATGGACTGCAGTGCCTTCTACCAGTGCGGAGCGCTCTTCTGAGTCGTCGTCTTCTACGAGTGCGGATGCCGCATCTACGTCTGCTCCTCCTCGGCGATGGCCACGTAAGACTGGAGCCGAGAAGGCGGAGAAAATGGCTAGGCGTGCAGAGGCGATGCGCCACAAGTGGGCCGAGGATTCGATAACGCTATCGCGTTCCACTGTTAATGGCCAAACATAAACGTCCTCTGACATTTTTTAATGCGAAAGCATTAACTGTCTCATGGAGTGAACTGACGTCATCCTTTTGAAGCGCGAAAACGACACCTAGTTTCCTTCGGTGGTATTGGCTGGCGCGCGTGGACGGGGCTCCCATTGGCCACTGCGCTCGTCAGTTTTCACGACCGCGCTCACCCCATGGCGCTGCGTGTCTACCAGCACTCCATTAACACGGAGCGTCCAAGGTCAGCGTGCCCAGAGGAGAACGCGCGCTGACCGGCGACGAAAAGTACGCAGCAGACGACAAACGGAGCGGACGAGCGGCCTGCATGCTTTCGCATTCACAACTCATAAGAAATGCTTAAGTGTACCTCGCCCTTTTTTTTTTTTTTTATTATTTGGGAACACAGAAAAATAAACTTTGAATTTCAGGGAATGAGGAATCTACCAAAAATAAACTCCGTCAATCCCCTCATTTTCAGTGAAAAGTAAACTCCGAAAAACAACCCTCCGAATTTCATGAGAACTAAAATTCGGAAACGCGGAATCCTACCAATAACGCAATGTCTATTCCGCGGATGTCGCTTCTCCCCAGTCCACGAGTGCGCAAGGAGAAGCGCACTCAACGGGGCTAGCATGCCCGTCCGAGCAGGCCACGAACAAAACAAACATTACGAGCATCTTCCGAACACTCTCAATGTTCAATGTCGAGATGAAATTGAAAACTACTGATTTATTCGAAGAATCAAAAATTTTCGAAAATTCCCATAAGCCTGCCGAAACGATCCGACAGTGTTTCGGGTCCAAGTTATTAGTTCCGGTATTGAGAAAGGGAAAGTGACTTCTGCGCAGTGTTGGGGCAACCCCTCTCTTAAGCCCGGACAAAATGACCTTTTAGAACATTTCAATCTACAACTCAACAAAGAGCGTAACATAATATAAACAGACCATTTGAGAAATTCCCCAGCGTCCAGGGGTTGCTGGGAACGTAGATGCGCCGCACGCGCTAACCCAGATGCATGTACGGGAGATTCAAAGCAGATGACTAAGTAGAGATGACTCAACATCAGAAACATGTCGTCCCGTGTTACGGATTAGTAAAATGCAGATTTCTTACACTGTTACTTTGTAACGTTAGTTCAATTTTATGTTGGACAAATGGTCTGTCGCATTCAAAGATCTATTTTTTTTTTTTTACTGGACCTTAATCTAGCCTTTGGGTATGTGTCCAACCACCGATTGGACATACAATATTGTGAGATACTAAAACTAAAATAAGATGAATTATTGAATGACGGAATGAATGAAATCAAGGTGGAAATGTGAGCGAGCTGGTTCATAGTAAAAAAAAAGGAAATGTTCAACAGCTCGCAAAGAACAGGGATTGAGAATAAACTATGAACAGGACAAGCGGCGACTCAACCCAACATTAAAAGGAAACATACCAGCAACAATAAACAACTCACGGTAAAGCAAAGCATAACAAAGAGTGTTGCTGGTATGTTTTTCATCGAACGTTTAGTTGAGAGTCAGCGCTCCTAAAGTTTAAACATGGTAAAACATGTGCACAAAAAGAGAAAAAAAAAAAAAACAGAGGAGAGAAACACGCGTAGACAATAGACAAGCGTCTACTTGCTACTCCCCTTTCTTGTGAGCAACTTAACAATGTTTAATTCGGACTAACCCCCCCAACTGAACACCTTACTGCAGTTTCTCGCTATTTGGCACTGTTCAACCTTCTTTAAAACGTCTAAACGAGGGCGACGATGAATTCACGAACAAAGTGACAATTTAGTTTTCGCTCAAAACGTGTAACCAGTCCATACAACATTACGTCTAAAGCCTTGCGTGGGGATGACGTAATCTAAGGAGCACGCCCTCTGGCGACCTGCCCAGACCGCAGGTTGATGTAGATCCTCGATGAACAGCCTCTCCCTTCCGATAATGTTTTTTTTTTTTTTCTCGACGGTTCCGATTTTTTTATCAGCTGGCAATATTCCCTCCCGCCGTTTCTTTGCCTTTGGGTCGTAATCCACGGGTTTCTTTCCCCCAGCGTAGCGCGACAACGTAAGTAAAGAAATGGTCGTATCAGACTGAAAACGCACAGGGTGCGTTTTGCTTGGACTTTGTCACGTGACGTTACGCGTCACCAGAACATCCGTGCTTCGTATGCCGTGCGCGAAGGTATACACTCCTTGAGTTGGCTGCCACGCTTCGTACGAGGCGCGGATTTCTCGGCGCGACTCTCGACGTAAGCATACGTAAGCTCTGGGGGCAACGCAAGCAAATGGTGCCGTGTGATCCGGCCAACCATCAACAAATCATGCACACACACACACAAAAAAAAAAAGGTTCAAGATCGCGGCACACTTACTGTGCGCGACTGGTTTCGCCTAAAGTCCATATGTAAGAGCTTCCTACAAGTAGGGACATTCTCTGAAGCGCCGAGTGCGTGACGGTGCAGGTTTTAGGAAGCAAATGGCGGCGCACAGCAGGGGTCTGAAGCTGAACTGAATGCCGCCATATTGTTCTAGCAGAATGTGCTTTGTCATTTGTATTGGTTGTCGTTACTTGTAAAAAGAAGTATCGAGGGAACGCGAGTCCCTGCCGAACGCTGACATCGCAATGGTGTTCAACCCGTGCTGGCTTTCCTCGGACGGCGCCGACAGTTCAACACCAAGGCTTTGTTATGTATACTCGCTGTGGGCAGCAGAACGTTTTGCGCATTGCGCAGCCGAAAGTAGTTATTACAAGATTTGATTGCTGATTGGAGAAACGACGCTTTAGGCATTGGAAACGTGGACGTCTTGATACAATAACGTAAGGATAATCTAAGATGAATCTATACATATATCTTAAATCACCGCTTGAAGGGGCAAAAGTAGTAAGGTCCCACAGGAGGGTGACTTTTTCTACTGCGGTTGATGAGACGAATACGAGTATAGTATAGGTGTTGGCTCTTCCTGTGCGGCTGCAACTTTCTTGACTGACTGCAGTCCAATGGAGCAAAAGTAGCTCAGGCTGTGTTGCCAGTTCCAACCGGAAATTATCTAAGTTTCAACGAAAGTCGGAACAATTAAGGGGGAGAGGGGGGGGGTGTTGAGTTAACCTATCACTTATTCTTTCCTGCTCAACCTCCCCTCCCCCATATCTGCGTAAAAAGCGTACAAAACACAGAAAAAATATATTTGTATTAAAAAGAAAAAACGGTATGAGCATGCGCGGACAATTCGTAGTGTTCTAGAATGGCTAATTCGCTTAGATCAAGAGATCCAACTTGGAGTATTACATACGTTGACGAGATAAAGGCAAAACTCTTTTCAAAGCAATTTTTTTTTTTTTTTATAAGGAGATCTGCAAAGGGCAAAAGGGTTACTGTGATGCTAATTAACGACGTTGAGCTAGAAATGTGACTTCCAGTACCCTTTCTCCGACCAAAGTCGTTTACCACGAAATTGGAAATCAAACTTCAACAGTTCGCCTCCTTATATCGACGCAAGATGCGCGCGCCAACGTCCATATAATATGAAACCCCTTAGAAAACGCAGGTGAAAGAGAAACTGAAGCTGTTTTGTATTTGAGGAAAACAAAAAAAAAACTTAAATCGTGTTTTCTTTTTCTGGATTTTAGGATTTTGAATATTAAAATTATATTACAGACAGATGCAACAAGTAGCCACGACAGCGCTTTCAAGATGGCGCTGAAGCCCCTCCTTCCCGTCGCGTTCGTACATTTCCTCGCTTTCCGCAAGCCTTACCCGAACAGTCGAAAGCTCTGCACGCGTTCTTTCACAAGCGGCACGCACAAGGCAGCTGAAACCTCTGAGTATGACGTCACCCCCAGTAATTTGTTTTCATATATTGATACGTCTGTGTCAAATACTCGTCATATTCAAATTCACTGGGGAAAAAAACGCTAAAATTCATCTCTACTCGTTTTTTTTTTTTTTTTCAATAACTTTTTCAGTTTCCCTTTGAGTTAACTCGCTAAAATAAATAGGAAGCTTTTAAGAGGATCAGCCAAGTGTCGTAAAAAGACCTTGAATGGAAGACCGACACTCTAAATATGTATTGCACGTGAACTAGTACTTGAATTTTATAGTATTCCAGCAAATATTCTACATTTGCTACTAAAGCAAAAAACAAACACACGAAAACTTTAAAAAAAATTGGATGTCTTCTTTTTTTGTTTTTTCTATAAGAAGTCCGAAGTGGTCGGGGAGAACGCAGCTGTTGCGGCATCACGCGATTTGAAAATATCCCATAGACACTGGCGTCAAGGAAGCTGAACACACGCCAGTACTCTTGCAGCGTCAGATGGTCGATCAAAAAACACCGATTGCGTGCATCCGAAATACAAAAGAAACCAGTACAAACAATAAAATAAAAACATACAAGCGCTACCGCTGAAGATCGCTGGGGCCACGAAAAAGGTTGTTACTGTTCGGACACTACCATTATGCCACTAATCATAGTGCTTAGAAATAGTACTATTAAAATGTTATCTGCCATTCAAATTAACAACACTGGCAAGGGGGCGCAAGCTGCCGCCCTATGCAAATGGTTCCTTCATTTATCCATCCATCCATCGACCCCTCAATATGTCGGCGAGCATGGTTCGTCTGAATTGTCGGGTAGTACACCTTACCTGGATCAAACGACAAGGATGAACTCACTTCAGCAGTTCAGGGTCGCGAAGTCGCACCACGGAAATTCGATTAATCCGGGGTAGACAGCACTCTCGTTTATGCTGAACCAACGGCAGTGAACAGAAGAGCAGAAAAGGACCGAACGGACCGTTACCTCAACCCGCAGCAAAGTTTCCGCATACAATGCAGCACGGAAAAAGCGATGTCGGTAGAGAGAAGAAAAACCCAGAGCTCCGTGCTCGAGAAAGCTGATAAGCTTTCCCTCTAAATAAATATATAGAGGGCATATACGCCCAGCTGCCCGCCCAGGAACAAATGCAAACACAAGTAGGGCAGATAAGATTGCCTTCAGAAAGAAGTGGAATCGTCGCCTTTCTGCTACGTCGCCGCGGGCAACCAAATTGATCGCGGAAATTCCAATGCGTTGTTCGTCTGCTCCCATCCAAGCATGCTCCAAATACTTTCTGTTAAGTCTTGGAATTTGGTTTCCGGGCAAGTTTCTCAAACGCAAGCAGTTGTTTGATTCGAAGGTTTGAAGATGACGAAAGAATGTGAACGCGAGCTGTTTCGTTTGCCTCATTTCATGTTTCGAGAAAAATACAACAAAATTTAGCGGCGAAATAGGGGTCACATAACTCGACGTCATGTCACACCGTGGTATCGCGCGACAACCACGACTCACAATATGATGTCACGTCACGTGACCTAGCTGACGTCAGTTCATTGGTGATGTGACGTAACGGCGTCACGTGACGGGACGCAACTCCATTGATGACGTTACGGTGTCAGTGTCCTGACACCACATGACGTAAGCATATGTGGCCTGACGTCACCGACGTCACGGCGATATGTTGTAGTATCGCACGATATTATGACGTCATTAAACTTGACGTGACGCGACGTGGTCACGTGACATGATATTATGGTGTCGAGTTATGATGTCTCGTGATACCCTGACCTTCCGTGACGCCAATGTCCCCGCTAAATTCAGCAGGGAAATATTTCACGGACGGACGGACAAATTTCTAAAATCAGAGAGTTAAAAATAAATTAAAAAATTCCATGCTGTAAAACAAAGAAATTGGGAAGTAGTTTTCATCTCTTCTAGGGAAAAGATGCACGGCTTCCTCCGTTCCATGCAAAAAAAAACAAAAAAAACAATGGCTCTAACACTCTAAAAATAAATTTAAAAAAAAATAAAAAAAAAAATTAGAGGCATTTTTGGACTTCGATGGTGCTTCGTTCTCAAGAAAACCGTGCTCCGCCGATGTGGTTCGAAGAAATATAAGAGCCCATTCAGAATTTTCACTCAAGAGTCCTCCCAAAAACTGGAGCCAAATAGTACTTGCCTTAAGTCAAAATGCATTGTCGGTAATAATATGCAACTTTCGTGCATACAAGATACGGCGTATTTTGCAATATGGCTTAAAAAAAAAAATACACGAAACATTCAAAAAATACCTGCCTCATTAGCGCACAGAGCAACTTAACACATAGGAGAGAAATGAAATTATCAATAACATAATCAGTCATTCACAAATTTCGTCATGTCTGAGGCATGTAGGCTCCGCGTACCGCAGTCCAGAAAACACGGCACCGTTTCTGAAACAAAATGTAACCGACGTGTTCAGTAAAACACCCAGTACACGGAGTTTTGTTACTTCATTATGTGCGATTACTTTTCATTCAATAGAGCATTATTATTATTATTATTATTATTATTATTATTATTATTATTATTATTATTAACTCTGGTTTTCGACGCCGCGACTGTAGTCTCATGTCATGTCGCTGCGGTGGCGCTGCAGTCGGCACGGCGTACGTCCAGGCGTTTCGCTTCACGCCAATCTATAGTTTCCGCTCATCGGCCACACCCTGGTCTGGATGAACGCGGGCAGGTGTAAACAGCGCGCGGATGTACGATATCAGCTTGTTGTAACACGAGAAAAAAAAGAAAAAGGGGGTCGACAATTCAAACAGCAAGATCGCGGTCCTTTGTGCAGGCTTCTCTGCAACTCCAACGAGTTTCGCGGCTGCTGGTTGACTTCACACGTTTGTGTTTTTGGGTGCGATCGATCGCTTTGCCACCCGCTCGTAAACCGACGGAAAAAGTGAGGATGAATCCTCGCTTTTATAAATGGACAATTTTTAAAAAAAGTGCGCGCCACCTGCAGGTAGCTGCTGCGTCATTTGTCCGAGTCCGCCATTGTTTGGGCGGAACGATACTCTCGGCACGAAGGTATATGCGCCAACGTTCGGCGCTGACTCGGCGAATCTCGTATTGGACACGAGTAGAGCGTCAGCGTTCGGCGAGGAGTCGGATCCAATCACACGCTCCGTGCCCCGAGAAATGGCGACCGCCAATGTTAGCCGACGATGGGCTTTTTGAAAAGTGTCTATTCTACAGACGTGCCACGAATGTGGAAACGGCCAGCGTATACTATACAAAAGAAACAAGCAGACAGTTGTACTACAGGCGTTTCAAATAAAAGTCCCAACTCGATACACCAAGTCACGTAATAGGCGGTGACGCGCTGGCTGTAAATCGGCGCATGCGTAAATAATTAACTCCTAAGAAAAACAGTTTTGTGCGCATGCTTGTTGCCCTCCACAGTTCCCGCGGGCACAAACTTCAATGATTATAAATGGCGAGTTAATGCGTGTGCACGTATGTCTCTGAAGCGAACACAACGGCACGTCTACGTTTCGTTTCTATTATCAGTGACCCTAAAGGCGGGTTCACACATTTGCGTTTGACCCTGATCGAGCGCGTTGCGTCGCCTTGTAGCCGCTCACCACACTCTGGTAAGCTGGCGCCACCCATCGGGCAGCCCTGGAACCATTCATACCGTTTTTGTAATAAGACTGAAGGAAATCTACGCAATATCTTTGACAGATAGTGACTTACAACGTTGTCGGAATTATTTTAAGCCCACGGTAAACGAAAGAGGAGTAAAAAAAAAAATTTGGGGCGGAACCAACTATGCCGTTGTCTAATTAAGGCATTAGCGCGGGAGGTCACGTGTCAACTTTTCGATTAAATTTGACGGGTGAACTGAATTTGTGTGTAGGTCACGTGATATCGAGCTATGTGACGTCGTTTTCACCGCCAAATTTAGCGGGGAAACTGGATTCGTGTATACGTCATGTGATATCGCGTCATGTGACGTTAATCTTTCCGCTAAATTTAGCGGAGAAACTGAATTCGTGTGCGGGTCACGAGGCATCAAATCGTGTGACTATATTTTTCCCGCTAAATTTAGCGGGGAGACTGAATTAGTTTTGAGGTCACGTGACGTCAATTTTCCCGCTAAATCTAGCGGGGAAACTGAATTTGTGCATAGCTCACGTAACATCATGAGATGATCTCGGCATGCGTGCGTTTGTCTTCCTTCAAACGGGGGCCCTCAGTAATGACAGATATCGTTGTATGCAACTCTTTCAGTGGCAGGCTACAATACAAACTTGTCGTGCCTTGGCGTTAGAGAACGCTAGTCTAATTTGGCTGGATCTGGAGACCAAAACAAGGCTTTTTTATACATCAAATACAATTTATTTTAAACCGTCAAAACAAAACACACAAAGAATGTGCAGACACGGTTAAAAGGACAGTTTGCTTCAGTTTCTTCCAGCCATCTGGACGATTTTGCTCAAACTGCGATTTTTTCAAAGTGTGCCTAGAAAAATATATTTTATTGTACCTAACATAGCCTATAATTAACATTTACATGCACAGTTGCTTAATGTACATTAAATCCAGGACAACTTATAACTTTCAATTTATTTAGCAATTACTAGTTTAAACAGAGCTGTCATAACCAGGGCCCCTTAGAAGCTGCAGATATTAAACATTAGAAATAACTTTGCCGTTTTGCTTCGTTTGATTTAAATTCCATCTGCTCGTATATCTTGATGCAACAAACAAGGGTCGCAGCTTTAGTGATCCCACATGCTTATTTTGATTGTGACGAACTATAATTGTGTTTACCTTTTCTTGAGTTGAGCCAAAGTTCGAACTGCATGTATGACCATATCACTGCTATTGACAATTATTTATAAATTCGTACCGTGCGTGATCGCCCTCTGTAGAAAATCTTTATTTACATGGAGAATTTTGGAATAAATGAAAACATTCTTAACCTCACAAAGTCGGGAACCTGCCGTCGGCGTCCACTTGTCGCGCTTTATTTTTATTAGCCAAACTTTCCGTCGTTTTTTGTTTTTTTTTTGGTGGGTGGGGGGGGGGGGGGGGGGGGATAAACAAGCGAAAGCCGTCACGGCTGCTTTTAGAGCACCCAATGGCGCAGCAACAAATCATTTTCGTCTTGGGAGTGAAAAGAAATGCTCAACAAATCAAAGAGCCGGTGAACCCCCAGCGTAGCTTACGCGCGCGTGCGGGGAATAAGAACAAAAATGGTGGACAGGAGCGTGTCGTGTGCAGCACGTTCGTCGTTGCTACGCGGTTGCTAGGGCCAACGTCAACGCCGGTGGGAGGAGTCAAGGGTTCGCCTGGGCAGTGCATCCTATCGACCTTTGCAAAAAGAGCGCTCTGGCCGCCGCCATTTTGCGAGTCGAGCGACCCCTATCAGCCAGAAATTTCTGGCACGCGCCTGAGCTGTGGAAACCCGGTCAGCGTGACTCCCGACCTGCATTTTGCATTCGGAGTTCTCCGGCTTTTCTTGGAAGTTTTTATTTTATTCGCCTGTTTACGATGCTACCCTTTGTGTTATCTTCCACTGTGAGAACCAGAGAATACCAGGGCTCGTAGCCCGCTCGGCCTTCGCAGGAAACGAACGAAGAGAGCGAACGTCAAGCAGCCCGCGACGCAGGCAGGTCGACGTGCTTGGAGGATTATTTCCATCGAGATAATCTCCAAAGAGCCTTCCAGGCTGTGTTCCGGGTCTTCGCAAAAACTAGCTGATAGGGCGGGGTCCGGGGTGTGGCGACGGAATAAGCACGTTCGTTCATTTGCTTTGAAGCTGTGCAAAAAAGGAGCTCTCTTCTATGTGTTCCCCAAAACACGCCGGATTCCGTCAGATCGTCGTGAAGTGACTATCGTCGACACTGTATATTGGATATGCTGTGTTATTTGAGACCTTTCTCAAATCCCGTTCGGATAACACGGCACCGTGGGGTACGTACAATATATTTCTTGTTCGATTGATGAGACTCGTTGAATTTTATGTGGTGGGCAGGGAATATCCATGCAGTATGGATATCCTGTGTGGTCAAATATTTTGACCTTTATAG